CACACACACACACACACACACACACACACACACACACACACACACACTTGACTAGCTATGTGACTCTGGGCAGGTTATTAAGTGACTTTGCCTCAGTTTCCCCAACTGCAAAATGGGGATTATAATATAATACTTCCCAGGATTGTTACAATGATCAAAGATGATAATTTTTGTAAAGCACTTAGCCTAGGGTCTGGAGCACTTAATCAGCACTTAATGAATGGCTGTTTCCTTCCTTATCACAAAAACACCCACAGACCATTAGGATCTGGACTCCTGTATCCTGCACCCTTGGGAAGACGCCTGTCTTAGTAGCACTGCTGTTAACTCTGTGGGCAGGAGCAGCTGACATGCAAGATCTCCTCCCCTTCCCCCATTTTTATTTGTATTGTAACATACCTTCTCTTAAAGTACATGAAAGTAAAGAAAAGAGAATTAATGGTTAAGATATTTCTGTTACCAGCTACTTCCAAGAAATGTTAAAACAGTATTTGAAAAGATTAAACTACAATATTTCAATTTTCACTGTTACTAGTATTATAATGCCTTTCAAAAGCAAAACTACCGGTTGGGTTACAAAATTTGGAAATGAAGTATTTCTAAAACTTAATATTAAGACCTTTCCAAAAAAGTTTCTGTTCTTTCTCAAGGAGTCTTTTGAAACACTTAAGCTTAAAGCACAGAAAAAAAAAAATAGAACAGGTGCAACAATCCCAAATATCATTTAATGTCTAAATGATAGTAAAAGGTTGCCAACCCATAAAATTCAGTAAAATGAAACATTTTAATACATTGTGTCTCTTAACACTTATGGAAGATTGGCTATGTAGTATGGTAAAAAGTATGTTGGACATGTAGTCCTGCCTCTGACACATAACTAACTGTATGATTAAGAGTCACTTAATCTGTTTCAGCCTCTGTTTCCTCATCTGTAAAATGGGCATGACAGAAATATCTACCTCATAGATTGTAAGGCTCAAATAAGAGACCTTAAAACATCATATAAATGTCAGTGGTTTTCATTTGTTTCTGTATCAGCAATGTGAAACCGTAGTTATGCAAAAGTAAATTAAGAAAAGTCAGTCATCTAATATATTCATTGGGTGAACAAAAACAATTTCCTCATAACTAGAATAATGCCAATTTGTTTTGAAAGAAGAAACTGAATCAATTGGAAGACTAGTATAGCAGTTCCTAACTAATTCATACTAATTACTGGAAGCTTTGCAGCTGATGGAACTGTGATTTAGCAAGTAAACAAACCTTATCAAAAGAAAATTAGAGCTCTTGCTTTCCCAAATGTATTTCCCTCATTTATCTTAATAAGTGTGATTTAATTTTGTTTATTGGTGATCATTCTTCATGTTATATTAAGTTTACTTTGTATAATTAATTAAATCTTAGTAATAGGAAAACTAACTGCAGATGTCAACTTTTTTTTTAACCTCTTCTGGATCTGAATTGACCCCAATGGCTATAAATCCAAGAGTAAATTCCTAGCCAAGATCTTAAATACAGACAGGGACTAATCTAATTTGCAATTTGCCCCAAAGTCAACCTTGTACTAAGAGCAATCAAATCAAGAAAGCCCAGATGTCATAGGTCCTAGAACCTCAGCACTTAAAGAAGTAGTCCATCTGATTATAGAAGGATAATCTCAAAACCACAGAACACTTCTGCTCTCCAAAATGGAGTCTTTAGAAATAAACCTATCAAGAAATAAAGCAGCTGGTCTAATCCTCATGGAATCACATTTAGATCTAGAAAGAATCTCGGGTCACCTATTACAACTCCCTCACTTTATCAATGAGGAAAATGAGACTCCAATGAGTTGAAGTTACTTTCCCCAGATCACAGGAGAGAAGGGAAGAACTGATATTTGACTCCAAGGCTTCCAACTCAAAACCCAACATTCTTGGACAATGTAATACTTCTTCACTTTGCTGATAAGAAAACTGAAGCCCAGAGAGCTTTAATTAAATTATCTAATGGCACATAGTCAGCTAGGAGCAGGACTAGAACCTAGGACTCCTGACTCCCAAGCTGGTGCTCTTTTCACTATACCACACTGTCCTTCAAGTAGCAGATACATCCATCACACACCCTGCTCAAAGCAATGACTACCATCTCTATTTCTGACACTGATGCTGCCTCCAAGTTCTGTGCCAGACTCATCAGAGTCATCTCTGAGACAACATTTACATAAAAAGACACTGTAACTAACAAAACATTTCTCAATCATCCTACCTGTTCTTACCGAGCTCCTACCTCGTGATTCTGTATAAATTGGGGGGGGGGGTAGGAAGAGGGACGAGGACAATATAACACAATAAAAAGTTAAAATGTCAAAAAATAAAAGTAGTATTTATAGAGTGCTTTAAAGTTTTCAAGATGCTTCATAAATATTATCTCATTTGATCCTCACAACAATACTGGAAGGCAGTGCTATTATGAGCCCCATTTTTCAAAAGAGGAAATTGAGGCAGACAGTGGTTAAGTAACTGGCAAAGTAGCCAGTAACTGTCTGAGACCATATTTGTATTCAGATATTCCTAACTCCAGTCCAGCATTCAATCTACTACACACTACTTAATTGCCTCTACAGCTGTATTTTGTAAAACATATATATGCATATATAATATCTGTTACAGAAAATATATTTATATCTCTATAATTTATGAAAGATAATTGCCAAAAGCATGGTACATACATAAGAAAGGACTCTAAACTTAGAAGTAGATGAAACCTGGGTTCAACTCTTCCCTCTACAAATAAATTTAATGTAAACAAATTATACTTATTACTTGTTTGACCATAAAAAAGTCACAACCTATCTGACCCTCAGTTTCCTCAACAATAAAATGGGGGTAATAACATTGCAGGAATTCACAAGGTTATTATGAGGAACAAACAAGATGATGTAGAGATTTTGCAAACCTTAAAGCACTCTGGCCTCACTAAAAAAAAAATTAATAAAATATAGTTTAAAAGGGTGTGCAGCTAGGTGCCACAGTGTATAGAGAGACCAGCCCTGGGGTCAGGAGGACCTGAGTTCAAATCCAGCCTCAGATACATAATACTTCCTAGCTGTGTGACTCTGGGCAAGTCATTTAACCTTATTAAAAAATTTAAAATATAAAAATTAATAAAATTTTTTTTAAAAAAGCACTCTGCATCTTAGGAGTTTGGGGGAGAGGTGCCACTGAGCTACAGTGGGCCTAGAAAGTTTCATGGAGATTTTCTGTACTTAAGTAAACAAACAAACAAAACAAAACAAAACCATATAGAAATATGTAATAAAGGAGATATGCCTAGATATCAGAGTTCATGTTTTATTTGACCAAACCTTCCATTTAAATCAGTACTATGAGCTGGCAGTCAGAAGAGTTAACGTGATCTAAGATGGTATTAACAGAAATCTAGTGTACTGAACAAGGGAGGCAATAATCCCACTATATCCCATGCTAGTCTTAGAACCTCTCAAGAAATACTGGAACTTGTCAAGATAATCAGGGTGGAAAGGATAACAAAAACTTTATCATCCAAAGTACAGCTGATTCAATCAATAAACATTTATTAAGTACCAACTGTGTGCCAGGCACTGTGGTAAGCTCTGGGGATACAAAAAAAAAAGAGGCAAATGACAGTCTCTCCATTCAAGGAGCTTACAATTTAATGGAGGAGATAACAGGAAGACAAATATATGGAAACAATTTATACAGGATAAGTAAGGAATAATTAGCCAAGGAAAGGCACCATAATTAAGAGGGGTTGGGGAAGGCTTCCAGTAAAAGATAGGATTTTATTTTGGGACTTCAAGTAAGCCAGGGAGATCAGACATTGGTAGAGGGAGAGCAAGCATTCCAGACATTGGGGAACAGCCAGAGAAAATGGCTAGAGCCAAGAGATGGAGTGTATATTGTTTGTGGAATAACCAAGAGGGCAGTGTCAATGGATTGAAGAGTACATGCTGGAGAGTAAGGTGTAAGAAGTCTGGAAAGGTAAAAGGGGGCTAGGTTATTAAGGACTTCAAATGCCAAACAGAGCATTATGTATTTGATCCTGGAGGCAAAAGGAAGTCACTGGAGTTTATTGGGGGGAGGGGTAGAGAGTGGGGGTGTCAGTGTGACATGATGAAGTCTGTGCTTCAGGATAACCCTTTAGTGGTTGAATGGAGGATAGACTTGAATGGGGAGAGAATTGAGGCTGACAGACCCACCAGCAGGCTTTTGCAATAACCTAGGCATGAGGTGATGAAGGTCTGCACTAGAGTGGGGGCAGTGTCAGAGGAGAGAAGGGACCACACACAAGAGATGTTCAAAGGTGTAACTGACAAGTCTTGGCAATAGCTTGGATAATGGGGAGGTGAGAAATCATGAAGACTCCTATATCGTGAGCCTGAAGAACTGGGAGATTGGTATTGTTCTCTAAGATAATAGGGAAGGTTGGGTAGGGGGGATCAGGGGAATGAGGTTTAGGAGGAAAGATGAGTTCAGTTTTGGACATGTTTAGTTTAGACTATCTACTGGACATCCAGCTCAAGATGTCTGAAAGGCAATTGGAGATGTGAACTACAGGGACTGGATCGGCCTTGGCCCAAGTGTAAAAAACCTGGAAGTGGCCTGGAAGCTATCTTAAATTCCGTTCAGCAAGTATTAAATGTCTGCTATGTATGCGCAAGGGATCGCCCAAGGCTGGAGAAGCAATGGAGAAAGATGAAAATGAAATACAAGATAATTTTGGGAGGAAGAGAAAACTAACAACTAGGAAAATGAGGACACACTTCTTGCACTATGCAGCATCTCTAAACTG